TTTCCCAGGCACGTTAGCAGGAAGTTAGATCAGAAGCAGAGAAGCCAGGACACAAACCAGTACTGCTATATGGATGCTTGCAAGTGGCAGCTTAACCCCCTGTGGCCCTGGAAGTCTGTTCTTGATTTAGTAAAATAATATTTGGGAGATTCTGAGCCTATGCATTTAGGGAAACCAGGGTCTCTTAGCCATCCCAGGCCCTGTTACCTACTCTGCACACCAGTCTGTAGCCTCCTTCAGGCTCCTGGAATGCCGGTGTTTATTTGCACTGTGGTGGCTGCCCCCACTCCCCACCGCCTGCCTACAGCATATTTTTGCTTCCCAGTATTGAGGGCCCTGGGTTGCCAGCCAAGGAGCCCCAAGCAGGCAGACCCGCAGACACGATGGCTTGTGGGACCTCGGGGTTCAGCAAGTCCTGGTGCCAACTTTGCTGTTGGTACAAGGATTTAGCAAATCTCTCTGCCTTCCTACATGGGCCAGACCATAGCAAACCTGTCTCTAGAAACCTCACCATGGAATCTTCTTGCAAAATAGTCACTGGCAAGCCACTTTTCAACCTGTGCTGGTCAGCACTGTGGTTTCTAAAATGATTCTTGGGAACATCTTCAAAATTCATCGTGGGCCCCAGCACAGTGGCCTAGCAGCTAGATTCCTCGCCTTGAACACACTGGGATCCCATATGTGCACCGGTTCTAATTCCAATAGACCCACTTCCCATCTAGCTCCCTACTTGGGGCCTGGGAAAGCAGTTGAGGATGGCCCAAAGCCTTGGGCTCCTGCACCACCTGGGAGACCTGGAGGGAAGCTTAGCTCTAGCCATTGCTGTCACTTGAAGAGTGAATCAGCAGACAGAAGATCTTCCTCTCTGTCTCTCCTCCTCTCTGTATATCTGACTTTGAGGGCTTTTTAAAAAATATTTTTATTGCAGAGTGGATTTAATGCTGTCTCCACATGCACAACCATAAGGGAGTTTAATAATATGGTTTTTATGCTTTAGATTAGGCTGATTTAAACAAAAATAAAGTTTATCTTTTGCTTGTTTGAGAGGCAAAAGAGGTAGCAGTAGGAGGAATGGAACCTCTGTCTACTGGGCGTTGCCCACATGTCAACAGTCGCCACGGCTGGTATAGGCCAAAGGCAGGGGCTTCTTGAATGTTTGGAAAGACTCAGGTATTGGAGCCTTCATCCACAGCTTCTTTAAATGCATTAACAGACATTTGGAACAGCCAGGAAATCCCATGGTAAGCAGGGATCCTAACCCACAAGCACAATGCCCATCCCTGGCAAGGTTACCATCAAGGCCCATGCAAACACAGGTAAGGGCACTGCAGTTACAAAGGAATCGGCTTCCTAGACTGACCCACAGAGAAGTGCTTGTTCACCTGAGATGCAGGCTAATCGCAGCTTCTCCCCCGGAGCTACTTACTGATCTGGGCTTGCTGTGAACGCCTGTGTGTGTGCTGTCCATTCTCAGCAGTGAGGCAACAGGCCTGGGAGACCAGCAGCACCAGAGAAAGTTGCGCTGCAGTCTGTCATACTCACAAGGGCACCTTGAGGATGAATGATGGCTGAGAACTTGTGAAACCCAGATTTCAGGAGGTGTGGGAAGGGAGAGCTGTAGGCTGCTGACAGAGTGCGCACCCTGTAGACCGTGGGCAGATTGGGCAACAGTGAGTGGCAGTGTTTTATGGAAAGCACTGGATTCCTCCTGGCTGTCCCTAGCTTGATGAAGCAGGCACAGGTGACAACAGCGGATTGTCACACTGCTCGGAAGGTCTGTTGGAAAGCTTCCAGGAGAAGGAATCACGTGCCAGGGTCATGCGGAAGACCGCTTACTTCCAACTGTTGGTTCATCCACCTCTCTCCCTTCCGAGACCCGAGCATCCTATGAGCAGGATTTGCTGAAAGAGGAGGAGCAGGGTTCTTTACATTTTATCTGTCTGTCTGTTTTAGTTAACCCTTTTAGTCAGTATCCCTGAAGGGCTTTGTCGTCTTGTTTATTTGGGGGGAGGAGGATGGGAAGGAAATTTAGGCAAACAATCAAGCTACATATATCCACTATCCTAGTATCCAGGTTTGGTTCCCAGCTCTGACTCTCTGCTCCAGCTGCCCACTAATGCAGCATGGCTCAGTTAGATGAGGGCCTGGATTGTGTTGCCAGCTCCTCAGCCCGTGTAGGCAGTTGGGGACTGAGCCAGGGACTAGAAGGTGACTCTTCTGACTCTCCAGTTTTAAAATCGCACACAGACACACACACACACCCTTCTTTTCATAACTTTCATGAAACCTGTTGAGCGTCACTGACAACTTTGATGTGAGTGAGTGGGCCTTGGGCACGCATTCCACATGCCCTCCCACACCCACCCCTCAGACAGAGCTGCCTGCTGCTGCTAAGACCACCATGGCAGGGGAGACTGGTGGCAGGCAGTGCGGCTGTGTCAGGAGGGAGTCTGCTGGAGCCTGCTTGATGTAAATAAAAACATCCAACTGAGTTGACCCATGGGTGGATTGCACTTCCTCCTTGAGACACTACATGATTAACCCATATCCATCAACCTATCCGTGACCACAGTGAGCAAAGGGTGAGTTGAGTGCTCTGGAAAAAAAAACACATTCCTTGCCCTGAAGGAACTTTAGCCCAGTGGTGGAGTAACTGAGACACTGGAGAGACAACTGAAGCGTGCCCGGTGCTGCTTCCTTAGTGCCCGGAGAGTAGAGGAGACTTAGTGGGGTGGGAGACTTGGAGAAGGAAGGATGGGTCCCTGGGCAGGAAAGAGACCAAGTTTAAGGAGAAGCCTAGGAGGGCATGGGAGCCCTGCAAGAAAATCTTAGAAGATGGAATTCAGAGATGAGTTTATTGTGCTGCCAAAGATTTTGAGATCCGTGCACAGTCTGTTCACCACATGTATTTTTCACACACTTTCTGAGACCTCTCCTTCACACGGGTTTCCCCCAAAGCACTCTGGCATCTAGCAAAAGGCTAACTTGGCTTGAGCACATGTTTATGTTCTGTCACTGAGAGACACAGTAGGACAGGCCCGAAACCCACACTAGAATCTTCAGAGCTGAGCTGGTGGGGCTTTAGAACCTAGCCAGCCACATGTCTCTGTACTGTGTGAAAGTACCATGGTGGACAGCAGGCCCTTGCCTGCCTCTGCACCTCGGAGCTGGGCTGTCTGCCCACAGCCAGGGGCGCCTTGTCTCCAGGCAGGAGTCCATCCAAACACATGGCTTCTTAGGGACAGTGGCTCTTTCTGTGTACACGCAGGTGCTGTCCCAGGCAGCCACAGCTCCCCTCTTTGTCTCAGCTTGATCACCCGTGGACACAGTAACTTGGTGAGTGCTGAGTTGAAACATTGAAGTTCCGTAGGCACACAGCACACCGGCTCCCTGCTGCACAAGGGGCTCAGTGCATTTCTGCGTGGCAGTTCTAAAATGCACTGAGTCGGTAAATTAACCTGGATGCCAAATGCAAATAAAATCAAACCAATTCATTTTAACATGAAACCATATTTTCCTAATTCTACTGCAAGGCCCTCCATATGCTTTCCGTGACATAAGATAATTCACATTTGTACTGAGCCCTTTGAATGCACTTGAGGCCTTCGGTTCTTTGAGAGAAACCAAAGAAGTCAGTCACACCCCTGCTCCACATGCTCGTCTACTTGGGAAAAGGTGAATGCTGACTGCTGCACGAGAGTCGGACACGCGCAGGGACTGTTAGCTGGGACCCCTTGTCACCTACACTTGGTCTTGATTCTTGCCCTACATGGGGCTGCGGTGTTTGCCGCTGTGGGAAGTGGTGACCAGGAGTGTCTCCACACGCGATTGGTGACGTGTGGGATTGAAGGAAGCTGATCTGTCATCGTCGTCAGTGCCATCTTCATGGTGTCGCTGTGTGCTCAGTGACACCGTGGGCTTCTCCCCATCTTCAGGAGCGTGAACAAAGCTCCACTGCACCAGCTGGCATCAAAGACGCTCCAGTCGGCGGGTCCCACCTGTTCCCCCTCATCCCCTCCTGGTTTCCGCATTGGAAATGGACTTCCTGTGCGGGAGAGGTGTTCCGGTTCCACCCTAGGAACCTCAGCTCTGTCTGTCATGCTTGTGTTGCCCTCCAGTCGTCAGTGGTTCAGTGTGCAATCTGGGTTTTACTTCCTCGCTCTCCCCCTCCACTTTGTTTTATCAACATTGGGAACAGCTATTCCAAAGCCTCCTGACTTGGTATCCCAGCACTGTGCAGACCTTATGGTTGGCATAAGGATAAGTAAGATTCCTGCTGTACAGTGGAGCTGCCACGTGGAAGAGCCGGTAGGGGAACAGGTGGATAAATGGAGGGGCAAGTGCTTGGCATGTGGACGCATCAACAGAGTTCTGTTCTGATGGACAGGCTCCCACTTAGTTTGAATCCCAGCTTAGATAGATGCGCACCAGGAGATCTTGAGCAATATATTCACTGAGAGCCTCAGACGCCTCATCTGTAAAATGAAAGTCACAATTCCTCCCTCGCCTGGGCGGTTGTAAAGATCGGAGCCTGTAAATTGCTTAGGGAAGTGTTTGGTTAAAACATCGCAAAGTGGGACCTACACAATTACCACAAAAGCCGATAAGTGACGTGAGACAAATGCAAACAAAGGGGGCGGGGTTCCCAACACCTGCAGGAAACTACGGGTCACATGTGGGGGGGCCCTCCCAACCTCCAGGTGATCTGCCGCGGCACACACCTAAGCCGGGCAGGGCAGGGCAGGGCAGGGCTGGGCGGCACTAGGCCCACGTCCCAGACCTGGGAGCTCACCGTCGCCCTGTCATAAATGCAGCAGGTGTGACCTGCTGCCGAGAGGGCTCACGATGGAGACAGAGACAGGGCATAGCTGTGACAGTTGTCGAGCCTGCCGCTGGGGTCTGAGGATTGTCCCGCTGTCCAGAAAGCGTGGCTACTTCATCGTCTTCCCTTCCACCTCCCTCTGGATGTCCAAGGTGAAGCGCCTGTCTTTCTTCTCCAGCTCAGAGGCCGAGAATGGCGCCGAGGAGAAGAAGAAGGTGTGTAAATCGCCAACAGCCCAGTCTCCTGCCTCCTCCGTGGACACCGAGTCCCCGGACTCCAAGAGAAGCATCAGCCTTTGGTGAGTCCTCGCCCGCTCTCCTCCCTTCTGCTCTTTCTAGTCTCGTGGTCATTGTCAGGAGCGGAGACGTGCTGTTGGCCAAGAACCGCCCCGACAAGCAGTGGAGCCTGGCTCTCCGGGGCTGGACAGATACTCCTGTGCTCCCTTGCCCCTTGTAGCCTTCTGCAGGGTCCAGCTCTCAGACTCGCCTGGCAGTTTCCGCTCAGCCTCAGAGCGGGTGCACCTGTGTCTCCCCTGCCTGGAAGCTTCAGAGAAGGGCAGATGAGCAGCCATTCTAGGAGCCCAGCCGGGGGTCCTTTGTGTGGGGCTGAGAAAGGCAGAAGTGGGTGTGAGATGCACAGTTGGGGTCCCCAGCCCTCTCCAACAAAAGGCTTCATGTTGCTGTAAAGCCTCTAAAAGCAATCGCTCAGTCTGGAGTGCTAGCCTAGTGGCTAAAGTCCTCACCTTGCACGCTACAGGATCCCATATGGGCACTAGTTTGTACCCCAGCTGCTCCACTTTCCATCCAGCTCCCTGCCTGTGGCGTGGGCAAGCAGTAGAGGATGGCCCAAAGCCTTGGTACACTGTACCTGGGTCAGAGACCCAGAAGAGGCTCCTGGCTTTGATCGGCTCAGCTTCCGCCATTGCAGCCACTTGGGGAGTGAACCAGCAGATGAAAGATCTTTCTCTCTGTAAATCTGACTTTCCAATAAAAATAAATAAGTCTTAAAAAAAAAAAAAGGAATCGCTCATATCACAGTGCAGGATGTCTGGAGTTTTGTATCCCGACTTGCCAGCTAAAGGAGCTGCTCCCTGGCCGGTCCACCTCCGCCCCTCCGGTCTGCGCTGCAGGGGACAGGCAGCCTCTGTTTGTCACTCCCTGCTGGGGCTGCTCTGTAAACCTGTCCTTTTTTTCGAACCCAGTGTGTCCTTTTCTCACTGTAATCCCCCGTCCGCAGGCCCCTGTTTTTCTTCCCTGTTGTTCCTCTCTTTATTCACATCGGGGCTCCCGCCTCACCCTGTAACTGATTCTCCTCATCCGGGCACAGAGCAGGCTGTTTCTTGTTCTTCTGACTGTGGCTCCAGGCCTTACACTTGGCTTAATGCTTTTGCTGCTTGGATTTGTTTTTTTTTTTTTTTTTGAGAGGCAGATTTACAGAGAGAAGGAGAGAGAGAGAAGGTCTCTCATCAACTGGTTCACAAATGACTGCAATGGCCTGAGCTGAGTCAGTACAAAGCCAAGAGCCAGGATCTTCATCCAAGTTTCCTATCTCGGTCCAAGGGCCTAAGGATTTGGATCATCTTTGGCTGCTTTCCCAGATCATAAGCAGGGAGTTGGTTCGGAAGTGGAGCAGCCAGGACACAAACTGGCACCCATATGGGAAGCTGGTGCCACAGGATGGAGCGCTGGCCCAGAAACTGTTTATAATGTTTGTGTCTGAGTCCCCATGTTTTCATTTTTCCCTGGGCCTCCAGGGCTATTCCTCCTGCCTACAGGGCGTGAGAGTGGTGCAACTGAGAAGACCCAAAGAAATCAAATACCATGTGGCTAACGGGCAGCGCCCCGGGCCAGGCCTCTGCAGGCCCTGGAGCCCCTAGGCTGCTTGGGCCTTGAGATCCTGTGAGAATAAAGCTGCCCACTGCCCACTGCCCCCGGGCTTGCAAGTCCTCAGCTGATTGCCACATTGGTGCTTCCACCCACTTTTGTTAAGTTGCGTCATTAGAGCGGACCTGTTTGAATTACCGAATTGTGTACATACAGGGTAATTGGATACAAAATTTATTTTATTTTCAAGTAGACTACAAGTGTTTACTCGTGGATTCCCTGGTTTCCTGTGTCTGAGTGGGTTCCATGGCCTATGTGGAATTGCTGAGGGGTGCTTAGCTGTGCGTGGATCCTGGGGAAGCCTCAGCTATGAGAGCTGAGGGGGCCGGAGACACCACATAGAGCATCTTTTCCCAACTGTGAGAACCCCAGCCTCAGGTGATTGCCACTTCAGTCATTTCCGTCCCCACCATGCGCTGAGTGCCACTGGAATTACTTCGTATTCTTCATGTTTGAACCAAATATTTTTGACCTTCATTTTAAAAGATCATTATTGCAAAATCAGGACTTTGATGTACCATTCCCCGCCCCCAAACAATAGAGCAACTGCATAATTACAAAGTATGTTAATATTTATCTCCTGCAAGTGCTTGTGGCCCACCCTGATGCACCTGGTCAGAGCAGTAGAGATGATGGGACATATATATTCACACGGAAGTGAACCAGAACCAGGCCTAGAGCTGCCCGAGAAGGGAATCTTGGGGTGCTCGTCTCTGCCTGCAACAGGACAAAGGAGAGCCTGACTTCATATTTGCTCCTCTAGGGCGGGCGCTTGGCACGTCCACAGCTTGTATCAGAGGGCCTGGGTTCCCATGCCAGCTCCCTGCTGATGCACACCCAGGAAGGCAACAGGTGACGGCTCAAGCACTTGGGTCCTGCCACCCGTGTGGGAGACTCCACTGGAATGCTGGGCTCCTGGCTTTGGCTTGGCCTGGTTCTGACTGTTGTTGAATCACCTGATGGCAGAACTTTGGTCTGCTTTCCTGTTTCTCCTTAAGATTTTCAAATACATTTATTTATATATATATATGAATCTATTTTTTCATTAGAAAGGCAGATATACAAAAAGATCTTCCATCCACTGGTTCACTCCCCAAGTAGTTGCAATGGCCAGAGCAGAGCTGATCTGAAGCCAGGATCCAGGAACTTTTTCCAATTCACCCATGTTGGTGCAAGGTTCCACACATTGGGACATCTATTGCTTTCCCAGGCCACAAAAAGGGATCTGCAGATCCCTGAGAAGTGGAGCAGCTGGGACACGAATCAATGCCCATATGGGATCCCTGCAGCTGCAAGGTGAGGATTTAGCCACGAGATTACTGCGCCGGGTCCAAAAAATATTTTTATGATCTTACTTGTACTGCCCCTGGGATATTCTGTTGCTTCATACCCATTTCTGGTTCATCTGCTTAGGCTCAGCATACTAAACCCATATTCTGTGGTTGGCACTGTGGCATAGTGCACTAAGGTACTACTTACAATGCCTTATCGAAGTGCAGGTTCAGGTCCTGGCTGTTTCACTTCTAGTCCAAACCCTGCTTACTGCCCTGGGAAGTCGGTAGACAACGGCTCCAAATGTGTGGGCTGCGTGGGCTCCCAGCTCCAGCGCAGCCCAGCTCCAGCTGGTGGGGCCATAATGGGAGTGAAAAGAATGAACGAACTGCTTTTACCCCTCTGTCACTCTGCCTTTGAAGTAAATAATAAACCTTGAAAAAAAAAAACCCATACTTTTCTATTTGTCTGTTTTTACGCCTTGTTAGACTTCCACTCTGTCCCATCTCCTAATTCTAAGATGTGTGCTGTTTTTGAATACTAAGTCATATACTGCCTGTTTTAAAACATTCTGTGCCTACATGCGTGGGGTTGCTTAAGCCTAAATACTGTCCTTGTGTGCCCAAGGCATTTTACACAATGCCACTCTCAGTTAACACCTGTTAAATATTAATGGATTCTGAAACAAAAATATTCCTTGATTGAACCCATAGCTGCAGTTTTATTTATTCATCTGCCTCAAGTACTCCTCTTGCAACTGATTAAAATACTTTGAAGATGATACAGTTACTTTCACAACTTGGTTGTTACTTCTCACTTAGGAGGTTGTGTAGAACCAGCTGGAATCATCCTTGTCTCCTAAAACACAAGCTGCGTCAACGCCCTGGAGAGTGGCAGACATGGTTAATTGACATCTAGGAGAAAAACAAAAACCTAGTTTCCTTGTGGGATGGTATGATAACCAAGGTCTGTCTGACTGAATTAAAGAGTGACATAAAAAATGTAAATCCCTTGGGTTTTATTTCCCCAGGTCAAAATCCAGCTTTGACGGTGCCTCCTTAGCAAGCGACAAGAATGACTATAAAGCAGAAGGCAAAAGTGACTCGAAGGCTGAAAGGAAAAAGTCCTCCTCTTCTAGCCAGGTAACCTGGGAGGGTGTGCTGTGTCCACAGGTGACAGAGTCCCTCAAAGGCAGAGGACAGCACAGCCCACGGAGGCAGCTGCTTGCTGCTCGGGACTGGCACAGGCACAGCACTTGGAGAATTTACAAGCACAGACAGGTGTCAAGTTCTCTGTTTCCTTCCATATCCCACCACGGTGACGGTCACAGTTGCACCTGAGTGATGATGAGTTCCATGCAGTGGCCCTCAGCTCCAGCAGAGGCCCAGAGCACAGGGACCCGCAGCCATGTGCAGCCCTGAAAATTACCAGGATGGAGAGGGGGCAAACGTGACCTCGTGTATTAACAGGCAAGAGTCAGGTGATGTAGCTAACAGAGGGCCAGCCCTGCACCTGGAGCAGGTCCTGGGAAGGAAGCTCCTCAGCAGGAATGGCCTTGAAATACATACAGGGTACCACTCAGGTGCTGTGTTGTAGATGGTACACAATGACTGGTGCCAAGAGTTTGGGTGGCAGGGTTTTTTTAAACTTCACCTTAGCATCCATGCATGTGTGCTAAAAACAATTGGCATTCTCAAGACATTTAGCTAAGTACACGAAGTATTATTCAAGTGAAACCCTGTTCCACATCCCATTTGTCCCAGGAATGAGTGCCCTTCTAAAGGTTACATTGTGTTTTGTTTTTCTCTCTGGAGTTCCTTAGGAGTCCCATCCTGCATTCATTTGCAATGTGGCTTCCCATGGAGCTCAGTAGCTCATTCTTACTACTACTACTTTTTTTTTTTGGCCTTTTATTACATTAATATTTTTGAAGAGGATCTAGCTTAGGATATTTTAAATCAAGGGTGCAGCCAAGAGTCTATGGCTATTCAAAACACAGGCTCGTGGAGTCCCCATAGATCATCTGGCTTTCCAGCATCCCTCCCTGGATGCAAAGTGTGCTGCTGGGATGCAGCCTGGAATTCACTTCATACAAGGAAGGCCTCCACGGGCAGTCACTGACTGGCAGCCTGTCTGTCGCCTTGACGATGCAGGTCATGGCTCTTCCTTAGAGCAGCAGTAGGGCAGCCACTCCTACTTTGGATCCTAAAGCATCTGGGCCCTTCTGTGCTTCTGTCTTCTCCTTAGCCAGCTCGCCTCCCAAAAGGCAGAGAGATGCTGCAGGAGAGCAACTAGCTCCTCCTCTTCACTACTGTGTGGTGCACCAAGTCACAGGGTCGTAGCCTGGGTTATGGTGAGGAGGATATTGCGAGCGTTGTAAGAACTGTAAGTTGCTAGCTGGATAGTGTCATTGTCACAGCTATCAAAACAGATGCCTTGAAAGGAAGGCAACTTGGCAGCATTTCAGACTTGGGGGCGAGGGAGCTTTCTGTTGCCCTGTCTGAGGTCAGGACTGTCATCCACCCCCGTGGCTGCCCAAGAAGCACCTTCAGCACAGCTCCAAGCAATGGGTCCCATAAGGTGTCCCATTTGAGCCTTGGGTCATTCTCCAAGATTGGAACTTTTCCTGAACTCGGGCACAGAAAAGGAAACAGCAACCCAGGGAGGTTGAGTCAGCAGGCTATGGCCGCATACCAACCAAGAGGTGAGCCTTTAGCTCTTCTAGTACTCACATTCGGGATCCAGCACCTGCCTTAGTGAGACCCCTTAGAATTTCATCTCATCAGTGACATCCACGTCTAGCCTGCTCATCTTAGCACAAGGCCCACCACAACCTGCAGCCTTCTCGTCAACCGGAAAGGCATTAATATTGGAAAAGAAAACCTTTGTGCCCAAACTCCCACTGTTTGTCACAGAGGGGTTGTCTTAGAGACCTGAAGATGGGAGAGGCTGAATTCCTCAAGTTAGTACTAAGGGGGAGAGAATTGTGGTTATGACTGAAGTTGAAGGCATCATGTTGCATAAAAAGGTGACACCTGCACTCATTCTCCTTACAGTACAAGGCAAATATGCACTTTCACAAGTTGTTTCTCGAGGTCCCAACGGAGGAGCCACTAAAGCAAAGTAAGTTCTGACCCATTTGACATCGTAAGCTCCTATTTTGAAAGGTGTTAACTGATTTGGTCGGGAGAAAGAGGGAAGGTGCCAGGGAAGGAGCTATATCCAGGGTAATAGCTTTCTGAAAGTCCTTATGTGGCAGTAGTGCCAGCTTCAGTGTGCAGACCCAAGGATAGAAACAGAAACTGAATCTCGCCATGTAGAATCATCCAGAATGGTATCTTTACCTTCTCGTTTTACTGCTGCAATGCATGTGATTAAATTTTCCTGAGTTTTTTTTTTTTTAATGGTAACCAGCTCAGGTCAAGAGAGGCCACTAGAAGACAAGGGCTAAAATAGTGATCTGCGTGGGCATGCATGCTAACACCTGTGGTGTGCAGGGTGTGGTGGGTACAGTGCTCACACCTAAATCTCTTGCCCAGTGTATCAGTGAAATATCTGCTTCATCGCCGAGCCTGGGCTTCTACACGAGCCTCTCCCGGTGTACAAATGTTAGGACAAGATGCTGGGCTCCTGCCAAGAGCTTCAAACCCGAGGTGTGAGTCACATGCCCTTCCCACAATCAGACCATGTGTTTCTAAGAAGTCATTGGTGAGAATCCCAGGAAGAGAGGCATGCAGGGCTTGTGTTGGTTAGCACGCAGATGGACACCCGCTTGGGTAGGGGCCTTCACGGAACTGGGTTCTGTGCATTGCCAGACTCACCTGTTCAACTTCATTATTCTAAACCCCACACAACTCTGAATTAGAAACCAAAGTGGAGTTCTCCGACTAAGAGAGGCTGGAGTTTGGAGTATGGCGTACGATTCCCGTCTGCCCATCCTTGTTACTTTCTGAGGAAATTCTAAATGGTGTTCTAAATGGTGTGTGTTCTCCCAGGCTTTACCTGCGCTCTACAGAAAGAAATCCTGTACCAGGGAAAGCTCTTTGTGTCTGAAAACTGGATCTGTTTTCATTCCAAGGTGTTTGGAAAAGACACTAAGGTGGGTATACATTTTTGAAAAGCAAGCTAACCTGGCTTTTTGTCTTAATGCATTGTGAATATTGTTTGTGAGTTCGCTAAGCTGAATCTCAGCCGTGATTATTCCTGTAAAGGTGTCATGCCTCCAGACAATTGTGTATCCTACAGGGACCACTCAGGACCTCGCCCACAACTGTGCCCTAGTCCTCTCAGCCCTGTCCCCACGTTTCACGTGGAGCCTGTGCTGTAGTTTGTCTCATTTTGTAAAACCAGAACAAATACTTTCAGAAACTCTTCTTTTGTACCAAATTCTTCCCAGTTCCCATCAAAGTCTTAAGAGACGTACAAGAGGTTACGTAAACTACCTACCCCAGCTCCCTTTGAACTTCAAGCCGCACAAAATGAGCAGGAAATGGAGTGGAAAGGGCCTCATCTTGGGGAGTCACATGTCTGTGGTCCCTCCCATCACATTATTAAACGCAGCTATGGGGGAGCAAAGGTGCACAGCACATGGCTGTGAAGACGGTAAACTGGCAGTTTCCCCGGGACCCCACCTTGTAAAATGAGGATCTTGTGACTGTGGCATAAAAGGGAAAAGACCACGCTGTGTGTTGGCATGCTTTGCTCCTGAGCTGTGAGGATGTTTCATGCCAGCACCTACAACAGGAAGTCAGAGATACAGCTTGGGTTTGCGTGACCTCAGTGAGTTTTCACTCAGTTTGATTCATGCTTTTTGAGTCAGCGCTTTTAATACTCAGGAAGTAACTGATTAAAAACTGTGTGATATGCTTTATTTAAATAATCTCCCTATGACCATCAGCAATTACATCAAAACCAGTTAACCACTGGCATAGAAACTTTCTGGATCACATTGGGTCTGCAGGCTAGCACAATACTCTTCTTAGTTAAGACAAATTTAATACTCTTTATTACATAGGTTCAAGTTTAGATAAACACTGGATCATAGTATTATCTGAATGAATATAATACAAAGCATTATTAAGCAGTATTCCATCATATTTGTTGATTACAAAGCTTGCCCATGGAATGGGAAAGGAGGGGAGATTGAGTGTTGGTAATCGCTGTGAATTCTTGGGAACGGAGAGGGAACCAGAGGCTCCGGGCCAAGTAGCAGGGCTGGAGAAGTAGTGAGCAAGGGTTGTCCTTTGCCAAGCAACTGGAGGAATTACAGAGGCAGGAAATACAGTTTCAGGCTGATACGGTTCTCCAGTGGTTTTAAAATCCTAATCTTCATCCTAAGAGAGGACGAACACCAAAAAGCTGGAGGCAGTGACCCGGTTTTTTGTTTTTAAAGGAAAAAAAAGTCTTGGACACACTGGGTAGTCCCAAGTAGGCAAGAGCGCCAACCTTAGCGGAGGGTGGATCTGAGGACAAGAGGGTCTCCTTGCCACCGGGTGTGAGGTGGCTCCGCAGGCTCCCTGGACTTGGCAACACTGCAGAATATCCTCCTTGCCAACAGCCCTGTGGGTCCGACTGGATCCACTGCGGACTGAGGGCATCCAAATACTTTGCTCCATGGTTGTTCTCTATAGTCTGAACCAGAAAGGAACTTACCAGTCTTGTGATTTCATCATAAGTTATCTGGCACTGCGCATTTGCCATATGATTCAGTTCCTGGGAAATCTCAAGCTGTCAAGACCATCTCCAGTTGATGGAATCAGGAGATGGGTTTCGCAGTTTCTGAGCAGCCATGCCGCTGGCAACAGAGCTGAACACTTGGTGGCGTGGCCATTCTGCCAGCCTAGGGCGGAGGTGCAGGGAGGTTAGGGCCACTTGATCTCACCGCAGAAGTGCCTATAGAACCTCAGACTGGATCTTTAAAATGGAGATGTTTCTTTGTGTTCTGTGCCTGAAAATGAAGGCTGCCACCAAGATGTACGATAGAAACAACGAGCTGCGTGTGTGTGTTGGCTGAGGTAAGCAGCTCGGTGATGGAGCCCCCGACAGGCTTTGACCTTCATTCTTGTGTTACAGTGGAAGCTGCAGGGCTTACTGCTGCTGCTTTTTTGTTTCTTCCTTGAACATGAAGGCTGCAAGTGCTTGCCAGTGAAATCTGAATGGGTACTAACTCGATGATTCTTTTACAGATCTCTATTCCGGCTTTCTCGGTAACCCTAATAAAGAAAACCAAAACCGCGCTCCTGGTGCCAAACGCCCTGATTATAGCGACAGTCACAGACAGGGTGAGTAGGCCTCAGTCCTGCCCGGGCCTCTTGCCGAGAAGCGAGACCCTGAGCCCTGAATCCCTCCCATGTCCTGTAAGGAAGCAGGCGACGCATGTTCTGCAAGAATGGAGTTGGACATGAGCACCTTGAGGCCCTTGCCCGGCCTTGTATACTCTCACCAGGGCATTTATTCTCACCTCATTGTTGCCAGCTCTGCATTCTGGTCGACTTAATTCCTACTTTGCCCTGCCATCTGTTGGACCAGGCTAAGCTTTTTTGACATCATTTTTGAAAAACAAAAACAGCAGCTACAACCCAGGTGACCATGGGAGGCAGGGTGCCTCTGAGGAGCCAGCAGGGCACACAGGCAGCCCCCTTCTCAGTGCCTACCATCCCAGATGCACAGACCTGCAGCCTGCTCAGCAGTGGCAGCCTCAGCAGCAGGCCCAAAGCCCTTCACTATACTGTGTAGAGTATACTACTATACCTTTGCTATACTCTGCTGTACCCAGAGAGTCCAGCGCTGGCATTGGCTGGTGACAGCCCCTGACAGGTCAACCAGAAACATTGGCATTGAAGTGGAATTTATTTTGGTTGGCAAGCAAAAGGGAGCAGTCATTGAGCTATTTTTCTTTTGAAATTGCTGTTTCATCTTATCTACTGCTTTTGTGAACACAAAGCTACATTTAATTTCTCACCATACTGGATAACTTAACAGAAAAGAAGGGAGAAGGGGAGATAAGAGGCCGTCCTGGAAGAAAAGATTTTTATATTTCAAATGCCTTTAAAAAAAAAGTTTATTTGGAAGAGTTAGAGCCAGGGAGAGAGATCTTCTGTTCACAGGATCACTGCCACACGGCCTCAACGCAGCCAAGAGCCAGGAGATTTTTCCACTTGGACTGTGTTCTAATGCTTTTCCCAGGCCAACAGCAGGGGAGCTGGGTGGGAAGTAGAGCTGCCAGGACACAAACAGGCGCCCACATGAAATGCTGGCATCTCAAGCGAGGGCTTTACTTCACCCCAGCACCCACCCCTAGGTTAAAACCAGCAGCTAACAGCCATGAGTCTCTAATCCTCAGTAGGCTTACAGTAAGTGCTTCCCTTATATATACTCGGTTATTCCATCCCCTCACCCTACAGCACATAGTTAACATTAATTTCCTAACATCACTCACTTAGTATACTTGTCCGAGCCAAAATTAGCAACTAGATCTAACTGCTGAACTTAGAAATCATAGCAGGTTCTCTCCCTGAAGAGAAAAAAAAGGAGTTCAAAAAGGTTCTGCAACTCAAAATCAGCAGTATTTCAAAGAACGAATTAAAAAAAATTTGGGGGCCCTCCCCCAAAATTTTAATCCATCAACTTATGACTTTGCATTTTTGTACCACATCAACTTGTCTCAATTCAGTTTGACAGACTTTTTGCAGTGCTTGCATAGCTAGTTTCTTTGTACTTCCAGAGAACACTGTTGATGGTAACACCTTTTTCCTCTTGCCTCCCAATTATTGGTCTAGCTCTCATGTTAGTGTTTTGGCATAGCTCACTTAGAAGCCTCTGCTAGGGAAAAAAAAACTATTTATACAGGGAACAATCTGGAAGTGCTATGAGAAATGAGCAGCTGTTAAAAACCATTAACAATGTTTCAATGGAAATCTAGGCCAGAACAGAGAAAATGGAGTTTCTGGAATTGTTGAAAACCTTTAAAAACACACACAAAAGAGAGGAAAGGCCTTCCGGAGAACCTAGCACGTACCACAAGCCCTGTCTGTGCCCGTCTGTACTAACGGAAAGCACCAGAGCCCTCGTTTAGCCCTGCATTTCTTCATTATTCAACTGGGCTGCGAGATCACCCTGCTCCTGTAGGGGACCCTATCTGCTTTATGGCGGGAAGGGAATTTTAAAAATGGGATAAATGAGAATGTAGCCTAGAGAATGGGCCATATCATTTGAAAAATCAAAACAATATTCAATGCTTCCCTAAACTCTGAAATCTTGCTTGTCCGAGGCTTTCTGTTACTAATGATCCTATTTTCTTTTTCAGTACATATTCGTCTCCTTACTCTCCAGAGATTCAACTTACAAACTGCTCAAGTCCGTGTGCGGACACCTAGATGTGAGTCTGCCATCCTTGAGCTCAGGGATGCATCTTCTCTTGTGTTTCTTCATTTCATTGCTAAGCTGCTTTTTCCTTTTATTCACATCATTTCAGAATGCAAGTCCCAACCCATGCAGCACTCCCAATCCATCTTCTACTGAAAACTGTTTCCAAGTAGAGCGTCCTTCATCCCTGCCTCTGGTAAGTTGCCTATATAACCATCTACATGAAAAAAGGGGGGATGCAACATGGTCCCTCCAGTTATATCCATGCTTACCCTGTGTCAGTGGCTACACGAAGGGTGTGGGCCAGAATACCTGAGGTACACTTGCAGAAATAGGACACAGCTCTCCTAAGGGAGAGGGAACTTAGGAGGCCATAATCCTTTTAAGTAGCTGAAGGGATGCCCTGCAAAAGCAAAACTGACCATAGGGTGTCTTTGTGAGCTACTGGCCACTCAAGCAATGCAAACTGTTTGCTTGTCAGTATTGTTCTGGAAGGATTCACAAATCTTTGAAGCAGGGCATGAGTCATTCTACAAATCGTTGAATATCTTAACAGTTCAAGGCACCATGCTAGTGTACATGGTAAGATACGAGGAAAAATCGAAATGAATGCTTGCCTTCAAAGAGTTTATGGCTTAGAACAAGACAAGGCACACTCAGAAGTCACCAAAATAAAAGGCGGACCACACCCAGCTGCAGGCAGACGTGGTTTGCCTCCCTCTGACTTTGTTGACTTTGGAGTGAATCTGCAGTAGGAAGTAGTTCCTCCTGCTAGTACAGGATTTTGAAAATTTTTGAGAGGTAGTGAAACAGACACATAAGTGGACTGACAGTCCTCTTATCCCCGATTCTCTCCTGCCCAAAGTGGTGTCTGGATGCAGGAATGAGTCCAGGTCTCCTGTGTAGATACAAGGAACCCAGGTACCAAAGCCAGGTGTTTTCACTTGGAATGCAAGTCTCTTAGCTGCTGAGCCATGAGATGAAACACTGACCCGTTTGTACAAGATTTGGATGTGTAATGCTACAATACTTTGCCAGGAGAGTTCTCTCTCAGCCAGATGACCATCTCTAAATTGAACATTGTTAAATATTCACTTTTAGTGAAGCAGCAAAATAGTCAGATGGGAAACATGTTCACACCAACACTAGCACCACAGAGTTCAGAACAGCATGACTCACAGCAAAAAAAAAGGGGGGGTGGGGAAAACAAAAACCTAATGCCCATCGTGAATCCATGATGAATGAATTTTCAAGATGAGCTATAATTGGTACAGGGATAGTAAGCCACAAAAAGGAACTGAAGAATCCACACAGGCTGTGACATCAGTGGGTCCTACAATTCTATGTCATGTCCCACTAGACAAGTACAAGGAGGAAGGAAGTGATTGGGGGAAATGTCGGAGTCACCACTTCCCAGCACCCAGAGAGCATGTGCTCTGGGCCCGATATCAGTGTTGTAACATAGGACACTGTAGAGGAGCTGACAACATTGTAAGTATTCTGCAAACCACTGAACTAACTGTATACTAACATGGTTTTACATTACATAAACATTTACAAAGTAGTGGGAAGCAATACAGTATAAATTAAAACATTGGCATTTGGAATCCAGGAAACCCAGTTTGCACACCGGGACTGCACTCACCATGGCTTCACTCAGCTGTGATATGTCATCGAAAAACTCTAAGAAAAAAATTATTTGAAAATCAGAGTTAGACACTGTTCAATCTCCAGATGGCAGCAACAGCCAGGGCCTGAATCTCCTCATCTCCCACCTGGGTTCAGGAACCAAAGCACCGGAGCCATCCTCTGCTGCTTTTCCCAGGTGCATTAGAGAGCCGGACTGGAAGTGGAGTAGCTGGGACTCAAACAGGCACCCTTGTGGGATGCCAGTTTGCAGATAGCAGTAGAACTCGCTGTATGACAGTGCCAGCCCTTGGGAGGCAAGCTTTTTAACTTCCATTTCTTCCCCTAATAAATGCCAACCTCCTGCTGTACTTGTCCTCTAGCATCTCAGTTTCATGATAATCAGATGCCTGGTTTCTTGACCTGGCTCCCTCCGCTGCCGTTTCCAGCTTCCTGCAGTGCTCACCCTGGGAGGCGGAAGAGGATGGCTCACGCAGCTGTGGTGCTGCTCTCTAGATGGGGAATCTGCATTGGGTTTGCAGTTCCCAACTTGAGCCTGTTGTGACCATTTGAGGCATCCCAGCTGTGGATGGGAGATCCCAATCTAGACCATCTTTCTTCCTCTGCCTTTCAAATGCAAACTTTGTTAAAAACCAAAACAAAAACCTTTATAACTTGGTAGTACCATTCAATCCCTTGGACTGAGAAGTCCCCATCTTCCCCGACCTTGGTGGTTGCAGCATTTTATTTTGCTGCAGATCACTAAGGAGGCTTCCCTAGCTTCCCAGTGGGAGGTTGACAACCACCATCATTCTGGATTTTTCTAGAGACAACATCCTAACAAGCTGGCGGTTGTTTGCTGACAAATCTAACTGCCAGATAACTGCCCTTGCAGTAGCCAGACTGACAGCAGTTTGCCAGAAACACCCCCGTGGCCTGGGGTAGTCCTCTCTCCTGCTCTATGTGATGGGTGGAACCCAAGTGAAAGGCTAGAGGGGGTTTACAAAGCCCTACTGGCTTAACGGGGAGATGGGCTTCTTCATTTCCTTGTTCTCCTCCAGGATTTCAACGAGTTCCCGGATCTGGACGGGGTGGTTCGGCAAAGGCGGCAGGACATGGAAGGGTACAGCAGTTCCGGCTCTCAGACCCCGGAGTCAGAGCACTCGCGAGGTGTGTGCATTTGCCCGAGAGTGGGATTTCCCCCAGACATCCCCGTCTGGCCCATTCCCAAACAAAAGCACACAAACCTCCATGCTGAGTGGGAGTCTGGATGATTCAGGGCAAAGGGCTTGCCGGGGTGGTAAACCTTTGCTGCCTTTATGGCCATCTTACAGGGTGGTTGGAAGGAATGGGTCATGTGTGCTTACCTCTTGTTCCCGCGACACTGCTGGCCTGGTAGACTTCCATGTGACTGAATCCCAAACATTTCTGAATGTCTCCAAAGGAGAAGCGAAACCAGCCCGTGCAGACACCCATGCAAACAGAGGACTGGAAGGAAAAGCCAAGAGTCACCCTACACACAGTAAGCAGGGGATTCTCTAGGGGACATTTTTTGGTATAATGTTTAAAGAGTTCCCTTATTTCCCTTTCTAACTCACCTTTCATATTCCCACCTTTCCCTTCCTGCTGCAGGTCTTGACATATAAATTCACTTGTGCATCCAACCAGCAATGCCCAGTTGTATGCTTTACTGAGCGGGTGGAGTACAAAAGTGATGGCCTTCACAAAGGTCATTTAATTATTCTGAGTACTTTGAGATTGTGCATCAGGAATTGCTGGTAAAACAAAAGTGAGACTCACCCACTATTCCCGTAACATAACCTACTGTTGTACTGCCACAATGCAAGGCTGGTGCTGCACTGTTCACCATTACCAACAGCACAGGAAAGACTGGGTGACTATGGAATGAGTTGTGTTGGAAGGACTAAGCATCAGCTACAAAGACAGCTGGAAGACCTCTGTTACCTGAAAATGAGTCCTGTTCTTAGTCCCTCTTCCCTGTAGGGACACTGCTGGATGAAAGAAGTGTGCTGTGGTTTATCAACTGTTGCATTCTGTTGTCTTCTACCCAATAGGTCAATTGGAAACAAGTGGAATCTTGCATAAAGTCAAGTCTCAGAAATGTCCAACCCTTCACCATATTCTTATATTCTATGCAGTTGTGTAAGTCAATGAGTTTGCTATTTTGACTTTAGAAAATGGTTCAACAACTGTTTTTATATTGCCAAGATCCATGGCAGTTGTCTCTAATGTGATCCATATATTTTCTTTGAAAACGTCTCTCCTGTTGACTCTTTTCATCAGCTTAGTAATGTTTTCACAATGATTATGCCAAGACTGGCAGACGGCTGAGTGCCTACTGGACACTTCTAGTTGGAAAATTGCTGTGTACGATGAGGTGTCTTTCCTCTAGTCACAGATTTTTCCAGCTGTTCCATGTCCTCTGTCCAGAGGCCCAAACAACTACAAAATGCCATTCCCTTTACTGAAAGTGCAGCCACTGTTTCAATGCTAATCTGCGAGCAATTGCTCTTCTGGAAATAGCCTGGCCCGGGTGTAGACTGTTCTTCACCCACCAAGGACGATGTGCTCAATCATATATCTAACAAAACAAGGAACTTAGAGGACAAGGTTGGCCACTCCGTGCAGGTCGTTCTAGTCCCAAGGGGAGGTGGAACCCTGGCCTTGAGCAGTCCTAGTGGAATGGCCATGATTTACCCATTGAGGCACTTACTTGCACTGGAGGATTTTAAAACTGTAAAGCTTTGTGGTTAACACCAGGATGTTTTTAAAAACATCTTTTCAAAGTATCTTTAGCCTAGTTAATTTGGAAAATGTTTCACTGGGTGTATACAAGGTTGGCTTTGAGTTGATTGTTTTATGATTAGCTTCTGGCCACTAACCACTTGAAAATGTCCCTTCTGTCCCCTGGCAGTGTCTGTGCATTAATCATCTCCACCTTCTACATGAGATACAGAATTAACACGCTGGAGGAACGACTAGGCTCACTCACCTCCTCTGTGGACAGCCATAATCCTGGGTAAGGCCGTCGCCCCCTGCTGTCGCTCGCTGTTTAGAATCAGTCACTGCTCTGAGCTTAGCCTCCTTCTAAGCAAACTTAGATGCAGGGAACATCTCGTTAAGTGCACCTGTAGAGCGTGAAGAGGTAAGAGGCTCCTAGAAACTAATGTCCTAACCATTCTTGAGTTGCTATATTGTTTGCCAGTCATGGAGCAGTAAACAAGTCTAGTTTTACATTGTCCTGTGGCCGTGACCTTGGCCCATTTTTTTAAACTAGACAATTTTATCTTAGTAAAATTGCAATGAGTCAAGACCTTCACTGAGAAGAAGCAATTCAAATAGCACATTTGATCATGAAGATTCTGTGCATTTGTTAAAAGAAATATGTGACCAAGAAACAAAAATTGATGGGACTAGTAATTAGTAGGATGTGTGAGTTTGGGAGAATGATGATAAAATTTCTGTGTTTGAAAAGCCAACTGACAAGAAAGATGGTAGAGACCGTATATCCCTGGGGTTCACTCCCGCATGGTCTCAGTGGCCAGGGCTGGGCGCAGCTAAAGCCAGGAGGCAGGGGCTTCATCCTGGTCTGGCACATGGAGGGAGGGTGCCCAAGTACTTCTCCCTCCTCAGCTGCCTTGCCAGGCGCAGCAGCAGGGAGCTGCACTGAAGCAAAGCAACCTGGACTCAAACCCCACTCCCAGCTGGGAGACTGGCTTCAGGGGGTATGCCCCAATGTCAGGCCCTCTCCAACCTTTACTATGCCAGACCAAGTTGGTTCAAAACTTAGGCTTAAAGAAAAGAGCTCTTTCACAGCCAGATTTTGACACACTGTCTGGAAAGCATGCTTTCTGACATGGAATAGTCAAGCTTGCTTTTAGACAATTTTCGATGTGGACATGGGGATAAGCATGTGGCAGAGTGGCTAACAGGCCGATCCCACACTCAAGTACCTGGGTTCGAGTCCCAGCTTCATGCTAATCGTGCTCTATGAGGCAGGAGGTGATGGCCCCTGCCATCTACGTGGGAAACCTGGATTGGATTCTCGGCTCCCAGCTTCTGTCTGCCAATCCCTGCTGTTACGGCTATGTGCAGAGCAAACAGCAAATGGGAGTACATTCTCTCTACCTCTGCTGTTGGAAGTAATTATGACCTCTGTGCATTCCTTAGTCACCTAGTGCTGTGTCATGCCTCAATGTCAGTGCTTTGCACAGGGTTGCTTCGTTGCACTGTTTAGGGAATAATGACAAGAAAAAGTCTGTTCAGTACAAAGGGCATACACCTCCACTAGCACTTGGGACCCTTGCTCAATTCAACCCATAGGTCCTGAGAGCTGACCATCCCTCTCCTAATGTCCCATCATGTCAGCCCAGAGCAGGAGCCCAGGTGGCAGTCCAAAGGCAAACTCTGAACACCCTGCTGGGGCATACAGTGAGACCTGTTACATGTGTTCATCAAGCTGCCAAGAAGGAACTGCAGACATCACCACAGTGAACACACAAGATGGTCCTCAGCTTTCTAACTGCTGCAACATAAATGGCTCCTCCCATTAAGAAATATTTAAGTGACTGGCACCTGCCGTAATCCCTGCAGATTGATACTGCATGGGGACAGAGGTTGGGAGGTGTTTGAGGAAGATTTGAGGTTTGCTTGGAAACTGAGGCCCACCCAATGCAATCTCTTACATAGAGGCAGCAAAAGAGGTCTGCAGCGTTAAGGCACCCAGCCCGCTCAGCATCCCTTCTGGAGCTGTGGGTGACTTCGGGCCCTCAACCCATTCTACCATGATCTAGATTTCTATTCATATACATTGAAATGGGATCCTTGTGCTTCTTCCTGGGCCATCCCTGACCATGGTCATTTTTTGCTTTGTTCTCACAGGCAGACGGTACCCTCCAGCCTTGGTTCACAGGTACAACTGAACGTGGAAGTCCTCTGCCAAGAGCTTTCAGCTAACATAGTGAAACTAGAAAAGGTGACCCGTTGCTCTCCCGACTCTGGGGGGGCCAGCATGGGAGCGTTGGGGGAAGTTGCATACTCGCCACCAGCGGTGTGCTGAAGCAATGTGGAAGAGGATTTCTTTCCACAAAGGAATACGTTTTCATTATCCTTAAAACACACGCTTTTGCTGGTCTGTCCATTTTTCTCCTTGCTTACTTACATCTCTGTGCTAGCAGCCCAGCAGCTAGCGACCACTTAACACAAGGCTCAGCACAGGAGTAGGGAATGAGTTAGAAAGCAGCAGCCCAAACCCAAAGGCACCCCAACCCAACCCAGAGTGGCCACTAGCATCCATAAAATATCCAGGCCCACCTGGAACCCTGAGGGACAGGAGGCAGCATTCTTGTATAACAGAAGAATCCATTTCAAGTTTCCTTGCTCAAGGTCACACCCTGGTACAATCACACACCTAGAACTTGCACCAGGCCCGTCTGCCTGCTTGGTTGTGTTGGCAGCAATCTGACTGCTTCCTAGAGTCAGCAAAGCCACAACTTACCTTGATCTTGGAAAGTATCTTCCTACAGCCAGGTAGAGCTGGAGCAAAGCTGCCTGTCGCTTGTGCACTCCTAGGTGGCAGTGGGAGAGCAAGGCAAGATAATCAGAGGTTAAACCCAATCCAGACACCTCCCTCCCTTCCACACTGCTGTTCCTTCCTGTAGGACAAAGGCTTTGTTTGGCGCCATCCTTCAGGGTAAATCTGGAGGCCAGTGCTCCAGCAGAACCACCCTCACATGGTCCTGCGCTGTGGGGCTCTGTATAATACCAGTCACACTTACTGGGACGAGGGATGAGATGTACAGCAGTAAACTGTCTGATTCCCTACAGCAACACTATCTAGCATTTCAAAGTTTCTTTTGAACTTACACATATGTGGCTTTCATCCCGACTTCAACAGGGGAGAGTTGTTAGTTTTGGATTTTGTTGACTTTGATGTACAAACGATAGTCTTTGGATCAGAAACACATGGAATCCTGCGTTTCTTCCCTCTCCCCTGCCAGGCCCAGCTGGGACAGCACACTATGCAATAAGGGAACAGAAACCAGAACTCGTGTACTGCAGGCCAGCAGCCAGCCCATCTCGAGCAGGGCAGGTGCCCAGCTGGAAGGCCCGCAGTGCATCTGAGAGCATGGCAGCGTCAGTACACAGGGGCCCCAGAGTGGATGTGTGTTAGGCTTCACACATTGCTCAAAGCAGTCTCAGGGTTTATCTGATTTTACTCACACATCCTCCCTCCCCGGCCATGAGGCTTAATATTGTGACACAGGGTAGAGTGAACCAGCAGATCGAAGATCTCTCCCTCCCTTTCTGTAACTATGACTTTCAAATAAGTAATTTTAAAAAGAACTTACAATATTCCTGGAAATGTTGTGTATCTGTGCCAACGTTATTATGTGGCATCTTCAGAATCGATTCTGGGAAGGCCAATTTTCTACCGTCTCTGAATGCATTTAAGTCACACCTAATGCTAGTTCTTTAATTCCATCTCGTCCCTTGACCCCCTCCTGACATTTTTACCTTTCTTATACTGTTTTAAAAATTCTTTGATTTCACAAAAGCATACATTTGTTTCGCTGAAGTGGAACCTATATGTGTAGCATTATATTCAAGGTAGAATTATCTGGAACAGTACCTAGACCATAGCAGATACTTCCAAATTATAATGAGAACCCCTCTTTCCTAAATTCCAGATACAAAGCAACCTACAAAAGCTGCTGGACAATGGCGACTGAGCGGCCAGGCAGCTTGGGCCAACGTCATACCTCAAGGTTCCCTCTGCGGAAGGTGCTCCCCAGGCGATCTGGCAGATGCCCCCTGCTGGTCAGAGGCGCAAACAGATGAGAATCCAGACACGTTTGCACTTGGAGGTCTCCAGCTCAGGAAAAGGGGAGGGGAAAATGTCAGTTCTTGTGCAATAAATGTTGACCTTGACTCTTGAGGCAGTTTCTGCTGCTGCCGCAAGCCAGAGAAAATAGGTCCCGGTGGTCTCTGGAAGACCCCTGGGGTCCTCTCTGGAAAGACTGCGGTTCAGCGATGAGCAGGATGGTATCAGCAAAAAACACTCCACTCCCTGCCCCTCTTGTCCTCCCTCCCTCACCCTCTTGACCAACCTGCCGACTGTACTAGTGAACTCTCTGGTCTTCAACAAATTAGCCATGCGTCTCCCAAATGCAATCAGTGGCTCTCAATGGACAGATTTGCTTCAAAACAAGCCGTGCCTATGTTTTGTCTAGTTTTCTTTTTGCGACTTGTCATTTAAAATTACCTGTGTAATCTTAATGTTTCAGTTTTGGCAAGAATACCAGCCAAAGTAGAGGAAACTACCTTACATATGTTCTGGTTTTGATCCGTAACTCACTTGTAATTGGAGTAATCCTCCCACCTCGTGACAAGAAGCTGAGGTATTGGACTCAAGTACTACATTTAACTCCTTTTGAAACCAAAACTAATCTAAACCCAAAGGTGTACTAGTGACTTAATGCAGGATGACAGACAGCAGATGTGTAATACTCTAAGTGGACTGTGCTAGCAATTTGGAAACAACATGTTAAGATTTTGTGCTGAAGCCGATCTGTTTCAGCATGACTACACTGTGTTTTCTTCCTTTGCTGGCTAAAATAAAGGAATGGTGGTTTGCTAACTTTACCGTATGGATTGGCTGGTTTTTATTAATAATTATTTAAGGTACCATAAGATCTGCAAGTGCAAAAAAATTCTATCAGCAATGCATTTTATAATCATTTCTATGAAATGTCTTGTTTAATCAGATAAGCTAATAAGTGAACTGGTCCCATCGTTTGTATTTGGTAACCTACTGGACAGCAACTGTGCCTGGTGCACCACTGGCTTCTAATAAATGCTCATTGGTTAAAATCCCCTCCTAACAGTGTGTTGTGTCGCTTTGTAAATTCACTTGGGGCCAGCATTGCAGGCTAGGTACCATATACAACAACAGCAGTCCAGTTGGATGCTTGTTGAAGTCCCAGCTACTCCACTTCCAATCCCAGCTCCCTGCTGATGCTCACTGGAAAGCAGCAGAAGACGGTCCAGGTGCTTGGACAGAATATACAGATGGATTCTTGTCTTCTGTCTAGCTCAGCCTGGGTTGTTGTAGCCACTAGCAAATACAGGTTCTCCCAACCCCCATTTCTTCTCTTTAGAACTTTCTTCCAAATGGATGTATCTAAAAAAAAAAAAAAAAAAAAAAACTAAACTTTAACATTTTGTTTTGAGAAGTCTCTCAAGTAATAATTGCTACACAGTTGAACTCTTCTATTGCCTGCCCTATACAACTCCCAACTCATGTCATACTTCTGCTATATACTCATTTCAAAACTCAAGTGATTTAAGTTACCTAGGTTTATAACAGTATCAAACAAAATGTACCTTTGAAATCTAAAAAGAATGCTTGATTCCTGGATGTACATTTTGAGTTATAATTATCTTGCTGAAGTCAATCTGATAGCACCCCCCTCTTTTATATTGATGAGGCTGAAAGTATGAACAAATATAATCATTACAAGAGCGGGGGGAGAGGGCATCAGACATGATGAACTAAGCCACTGCTTCTAACGCTAGCATCCCAGAATATCAGTTCGAGTCCCAGCCATTCCATTTCTGCTACAACTCGCTTGCTAACATGCTGGGGGAAGGAACAGAGCACAGCACAAATGCACGGGCCCATTCCACTCCCACCCTCACCCCCACACCGAGAGACCTGACTGGGTTCCAGGCTTCTGGCATCGGTCTGGCCCTGGCCCAGGCCTGCATACTGTAAACACTTGAGAGTGACCCAGCAGATGGAGAACCTTTCTCCTCTCAAACCATGCCTTTCAAATAAATAAGAGGAAGTGCAGGTAATTAAGCAGGAAGAAGAGAGAATGAAGAAATTATCTTTTCCCTAAAATACATGGCCTAATCAGCCAAGCCATATAAAAGTACCATGTTTGCTATTCTAAAACATTTTCATAGCTCACATTCCAGTTTTCTCCAAGTTCAACTTCAAGACTTTTACCGATATCCCATAGAGATTGAAGAGTAAGTCAGCTACCCCTGGAGAACAACTCTACAATTAGGTGGAAAGTTTTTTTGTTTTGTTTTTAAATCAGATTTTACCATTAGTGAACTACTGTCTAGGAATCTCTCAAAGCAATCAGACATAGACAAAGTTTTACATACAAGAATATTCCTTGAAACAGTCTGTCTGCTTAAGTAAATGTTCAGTAACAGTTAAATTATGTGGTTATCTCTGCAGGGGGAAAATTATATGGTTATTAATTATTGTCACAAAAAAGCATAGAAATCACATTAGGGTAGCACTGTATGGTTGATCAGAGTTTTATCAAGAAACCCTGCATTTATGTTGTGTGTACAAACACACATGTTCCTTAAATTCTGCCAGTTTTGTAGTAAAATGAGCACTCATTACCTTGTTGTTTACATCAAGGTATTAAGAAGTTGGGTGGCTTGTAGGGAATCAGATCAAGACAGTCTCATTGGGCCCAGCGGCATGGCCTAGTGGCTAAAGTCCTTGCTTTGAACACGCCAGGATCCCATATGGGTGCCGGTTTTAATCCCAGCAGCTCCACTTCCCATCCAGCTCCCTGCTTGTGGCCTGGGAAAGCAGTCGAGGACGGCCCAAAGCTTTGGGACCCTGCACCCATGTGGGATACCGGAAGAAGTTCCTGGATCCTGGCTTCAGATTGCCATAGCATCGGCTGTTGCGGTCACTTGGGGAGTGAATTATTGGGCGGAAGATCTTCCTCTCTGTCTCTCCTCTCTGTATATCTATCTGACTTTCCAACAAATAAATAAATCTTTTAAAAAAAAAAGTCTCATCGCCTCATGACTAACCACTGTGCACCTGGAATGTCGCTCTTCAATCACCACTGCGCTTCACTTAGCCAGCAAGAGGAAGCTACATCGGTCCTGGATGTAGTTATGATTTTGGCCTGGAGAATGCCACTGTGATCTGCTGTGTTATTCACGTGTAGTTCTCAACTCAAAGTGTCAAGCAGGAGGATCCGAATAATGATGCAATGCCTCTCCCTGTGCCCACCTAGTAACTGCAGGCACAGGAAAGCAGCTGTTTACCACCTAGGAACAAATGCAGGGAATTCAAATACAAAGGAGTTCAGATGGTGAGTGACTAACAAACACCCACAGTACACGTTACACATAGAAATTTAGCCGTTTCTGATTCTAGAAAGGTAGCAGCTATCAGTTGAACACTAGTTCTATATATTCTAAATTTAATTCATGATTATTTTAATAACTAGGAAATTAACAACCTGGGATAATTGACAAACAGGAAATGCATAGATTATTTTTGACCACTGCAACATGGTGAATCTTTAAAATACCTTCCTGCATACATCCCTTCCTACAAAGTGCTTCCCTGGAGCATTTTCCAGCTAGTTACATAATCCTTTGAAATGAAATCCTGTCAGACACATCTTTAAGATGACTTTTCCTTACCTTTCACAATTTATCCTACTTCATAAAATCAGCAAGTCAGACCAATAATTGTGGCTGATAGCAAACTCCCTTGGGTGCTGTTTTATGTACCTCAGATTCAGGTGAAGCTGTTCTTGCCTATGTTTCTGATGCTCTCATGGCATGCACACTAACATGCCACAACCCAAGTAGCTGGTTTCAAGCATTCTTTAAAATGTCTCCGTTCCACACATTAGAGCAGTTAAGCTGCTCTTTGAGGTCACAGCCGACCTGGAAGAGGTGAGCAGTGATGTAACTTACCCGCTGCTCTTACACCTGTCACTGTTGAACATGATGCTACCAAACTCATGCCAAAAATTCTAAAAGCTCATTGCAAAACAATCATTAGCTGAAGTATCTGTGACCGCTGAGATACCAGGACTTATTTGCTTCTTGTGGTGTATCTGTTTTTATTTTTCGCATATACACACACACACACACACACACACACACACACACACACGTCTACCATGGCAATAACAATTTGTGCTAATGAAAAATGGCAAAAAACGGTCCTTGCTTCCCACCAAGGCAAAGCCACTATATTTCAATGGATCTTGATGAACCACACACTGCACTCTCCTCAGGTCTTCTAAATCTCTCCACTACAAATTGTGGCCCAAGGGCTTGAAGCCTCGTCACCCATGTAGGAGATTGGGCTGCAGTGCCTGGCTCCCAGATTTGGCCTCGCCTAGCCCAGCTTGTTGCAAACTTTTAGGACTTCAACCAGCAGATGAAATGTTCTCTTTCTTTACCTCTGTCATTCTGTTTTTCAAACAAATAACTCAGAAAAACAATTCCACTAGGAAGGCTGACTTGGACTGCTGTATGTGAAGCCTTCTGACATGAGGAGGTCAGCGCACATCTTACGGAGAAACCTGCGTCGGTTTGGCCACCAGTGCACCTACATTTAACCATACTCTAGGCAGATGCAAGCTTCCCTTTCATCTACAAGGCTACAGCTACACGTTGAGAATGTTGTCTGCCGAGGTTCTGATTATCCCCAGGCCACATGCACATAGCTTTAGCCATGTGTTTTTGTTTTCATCTCACTGCCCCATAAGATATTGGCTTGATACAACAGCCTGTCGTCAATATACCTGAGAAAGCAAGAAAGGATGGCCCGAGTACTTGGTCTCCTGCACCCATGTGGGAGACCCAGAAGAAGCTTCTGGCTCTGGCTTGGCCCAGCCTCAATCATTCCAGCCATTTAGGGAGCCCATCAACAGATGGAAGTCCTCTTTTTGTCCCTCCCTCTCTTCTCTTGAACATTGCCTTTCAAATAAAAATAAAATAAATACTTTAAAATAAAAGAAGGTATGCCAGCAAGGTAATTTAGTGGATAAAATCCTCGCCTTGCACATGTCAGGATCCCATATGAGCGCGCTGGCTCACATCCAGTGGCCTCTCTTCCCATCCAGCTCCCTGCTTGTGGCCTGGGAATGCAATTGAGGACGTCCCAAAACCTCCAGACCCTGCACCCATGTGGCAGACCTGGAAGAAGCTCCTGGCTCCTGGCTTCAGATCTGCTCAGCTCCAGCTGTTGCAGCCACTTGGGGAGAGAATCAACGGACAGAAGATCCTCTTCTCTGTATATCTATCTGACTTTGCAATAAAAGCAAGTCTTTAAAAAAAAATTGAAATGATAAAATTCAGAGAAAATAAAAATGTATTAAAAAGAACCAAGCTAATGTTGATGATGAAATTAAAAAGTCAGTTCCAAACTTTAAGAGCAGACTGAAGCAAACAATTTCTCATCTGTAAAACTAGGCTTTTGATGGAGCCTACACACACAAGAGTGACACAAAAAGAATTAGACTACATAAGGGTCATGCAAAATATGTGATTTCTTAGGCAAAGAAATAGTCAAATTCTAGGGAGTGAAGAAAAGGAAAACAATGAGAACCTGAGTGAAGTAGCAGTGAAACTGTCAAAACGTCTGACGTCTAAAAAAAAGTATAAATATTCGATCCAAGAACCACCAAGAACCCCAAACGCATCCAACTGAAAAATATTTTCTTCAAGGTATATTGTAGTTGAACTTAAAATTACAAGCAAGAAGACAATCGTAAAGACAGAAGAAAGTGTCAGGTGACAATTACACTAACAGATTTCCTAGCAGAAGCCCTACACACAGGAGTGGGGTGATCTACTCAAGATCTTAAAAAAAAAAAAATAAAAACTGCCGAGAATGTTATATCCAGCAAAGCTACAAATTAAAAGTTAAGGAGGGGCCCGGCGCGGTGGTGCAAGTGGTTAAAGGTCCTCGCCTTGCACGCCCGGGATCCCATATGGGCGCCGGTTCTAATCCCGGCAGCCCCGCTTCCCTTCCAGTTCCCTGCCTGTGGCTCGGGAAAGCAGTCGAGGACAGCCCAAAGCTTTGGGACCCTGCACCCGCATGGGAGACCCGGAAGAGGCTCCTGGCTTCGGATCGGCATAGTATCGACCCATTGCGCTCACTTGGGGAGTGAATCATCGGACGGAAGATCTTCCTCTCTGTCTCTCCTCTCTGTATATCCGCCTTTCCAATAAAAAAATAATAAAAAAATAAATCTTTAAAAAAAAAAACAAAAAAAAAAGTTAAGGAGAAAAACTACTTCCTAGGCAAACAAGAACTGGTAATTCATCAGCAGCAGGCTAGCCTAAAAGGAATCT